CGCTGTCCCTGTCCCCTGTGTGGTTGATCACCCCCTGAGGGGACACAAACGTGTCCCCATGTCCCCAGGGCACAGTGTCCTGGTCCCCAACGCTGCCCAGGGGACAGTGTCCTGGTCCCCAATAGCACCCCCAGGGGACACCCACTTGTCCCCAGGGGACGCTGTCCCCATCCCCAGTGCACCCCCTGAGGGGACACAAGTGTGTCCCCATGTCTCCAGGGGACAGTGTCCTGGTCCCCAATAGCACCCCCAGGGGACACGCGCTTGTCCCCGTGTCCCCAGGGGACGCTGTCCCCATCCCCTGTGTGGCTGATCACCCCGTGAGGGGACACACACTTGTCCCCATGTCCCCAGGGGACCCTGTCCCCATCCCCAGTGCTGTTGAGCACCCCTTGAGGGGACACAAGCATGTCCCCATGTCCCCACGGGACAGTGTCCTGGTCCCTGATGCTGTTGAGTACATCTGAGGGGACACAAACGTGTCCCCATGTCCCCAGGGGACACCATCCAGCTCCCCAGTGCTATTGAGCACCCCTGAGGGGACACGAACTTGTCCCCACACTCCGTGGGTGACAAACTTGTCCCCGTGTCCCCAGATGACAGTGTTCCGGTTCCGGATGCTGTTGAGTACCCCTGAAGGGACACAAACTTGTCTCCACACCCCTGGGGACACCATCCCAATCCCTGATGCTGTTGAGTCTCTCCCACCCCTGCAATGACACCAAGGTGGCAGTGCCATCGGTCACCTCCTGCGCTTGTCCCCGTCCCCCGGGGGACACGGGGGACCAAATGGGGACCCCCCTCTCCCTCCGCAGGTGCTGGGGGCGATGCTCGGCCTCAGCCTCTTCGCCGTCATCGTCGCCGCCACCATCGTGGTCCTGGTCCGCCGGCTGCGCCTTAAGAGTGAGTGACGCCACCCGCGGTGGCCTTGGGGACAAGGGGGTGACAGGGCTGCGCCCCCGTTAACCTGTCCCCATCGCGGTCCTCAGAAATACCGGCGCAGGGGACGCCGAAATATCGCTTCCGAAAACGGGACAAAATGCTCTTCTACGGCCGCAAGATCATGCGCAAGGTGACACTCGGGGTGGTAGCTGGGGTGACTCGGCGATGTCACCCTCGTGGGGTGACATCCCACTTCGGTGTCCCCAACTCCAGGTCTCCCAATCCACTTCCTCCTTGGTGGACACCACCATCTCCAGCGCTTCGCGGCCGCGCATGAAGAAGAAGTTGAAGATGCTCAACATCGCCAAAAAGTGAGGTGCCACCAGCGCCGGGAGAAAGTCCACCCGGGTGGTGGTGGCTTTGTCCCCGTGTCACCTCGTTGTCCCCAAGGTTCCTGCGTATCCCGAAGGAGCTGCCCACGCTGCAGTTGAAGGAACCTCCGCCCTCGGTGCTGGAAGCCGACTTGACCGAATTCGACGTGGCCAATTCTCATCTACCTTCTGAGGTTCTCTACATGCTCAAAAATGTCCGGTGAGGCTCAGGACCCGATCTCCGGTGGGGTCAGGATCTGTCCCAAGGGGGGGTCGGGGACCAGCCCCAGGGGGTCACGGACTGGCCCCAGGGGTCAGGGTCCATCCCCGGGGTCAGGATCTGTCCCCGGGGGGGTCAGGACCAGCCCCAGAGGGTCACGGTCTGTCCCCACGGGTCAGGATCCGGCCCCAGGGGGGTCAGGATCCATCCTTGGGGGTCAGGATCAGGCCCCAGAGGGTCAGGATCCATCCCCGGGGTCAGGATCAGGCTCTGGGGGGATCAGGATCCATCCCCGGGGGTCAGGATCGGTCCCCGGGGGGGTCGGGGACCAGCCCCAGAGGGTCACGGTCTGTCCCCAAGGGTCAGGATCTGTCCCCAGGGGTCAGGATCAGGCCCCAGAGGGTCAGGGTCCATCCCCGGGGTCAGGATCTGGCTCGGGGGGGATTAGGATCCATCCCCGGGGGTCAGGATCTGTCCCCGGGAGGGTCAGGGACCAGCCCCAGCAGGTCACGGTCTGTCCCCAAGGGTCAGGATCTGTCCCCAAGGCGGTCGGGGACCAGCCCCAGCAGGTCACGGTATGTCCCCAAGGGTCAGAATCTGTCCCCAGGGATCAGGATCAGGCCCCAAAGGGTCAGGATCCATCCCCGGGGGTCAGGATCTGGCTCTGGGGGTATCAGAATCCATCCTTGGGGGTCAGGATCTGTCCCCAGGGGGGTCGGGGACCAGCCCCAGAGGGTCACGGTCTGTCCCCAGGGGTCAGGATCAGGCCCCAGAGGGTCAGGATCCATCCCCGGGGTCAGGATCTGGCTCGGGGGGGATCAGCATCCATCCCCAGGGGTCAGGATCTGTCCCCGGGGGTGTCGGGGACCAGCCCCATGGGGGTCAGGATCCATCCCCAGGGTCAGGATCTGGCTCCGGGGGGAGTCAGGATCCATCCCCAGAGGGGGTCAGGGACCAGCCCCAGAGGGTCAGGATCAGGTCTCAGGGGTGCAGGATCCATCCTTGGGAGTCAGGATCTGTCCCCAGGGATCAGGATCGATCCCTGTTGGTCAGGATCTTTACCCCAACGGATCAGGATCTGGCACCAGGGTCAGGATCTCTCCCCAGGGGGTCAGGATCTGTCCCCAGAGGGGTGAGGTTCCAGCCCCAGGGTCAGGATGTGGCCCCAGGGGCTCAGGATCCAGGCTTCGGTGTCAGGATCAGGCCCCAGGGGCTCAGGATCCATCCCCGGGGGTCAGGATCTGGCTCTGGGGGGATCAGGATCTGTCCCCAGGGATCAGGATCGATCCCTCTTGGTCAGGATCTATGCCCCAACAGATCAGGATCCAGCCCCGGGGTCAGGATGTGGCCCCAGAGTCAGGATTCAGCCCCGGAAACCCTCTAAGGAGAGGCTGGACCACTCCGGCTGAAGGATGCTCTTCCCCTCTGCATCCCCGTCGCCGTGGCAACCAGCCACAGGGGTGGCTGCAGAGTTGCGGGGCAGGTTGAGGCAGGCTCCGTGTCACCCGTTTGTCCCCATCCTTGTCCCCGGCAGGGTGCTGGGTCACTTTGAGAAGCCGTTGTTCCTGGAGCTTTGCAAGCACATGGTTTTCCAGCAGTGCCAACAAGGTGACTACGTTTTCCGCCCCGGACAACCCGATACTAGTATCTACGTGCTGCAGGACGGCAAGTTGGAGCTCTTCCTCACCGAACCGGTGCGGGGACGGGGACAAAGACGTGCGGGGGGACACGGGACAGGGGGATGGAGACACTCGGGGGGATGCCGGGGACGGAAAGAGCCCAAAGGGGTTTGCTGTTCGCAGGATGGGAAGGAGACGGTGATGAAGGAGGTGTTCCCCGGGGACAGCGTGCACAGTCTGCTCAGCATCCTTGATGTCATCACGGTACCGTCGCCACCGCTGTCCCCAACACCCCCTCGTAGACCGATTGTGGTTGTCCCCAACACCCCCTCGTAGACCAATTGTGGTTGTCCCCAAGCCCCCTAAGCCTGGTTGGGGCTGTCCCCGAGCACTCTAAACGTGTTCATGGCCATCCCCAAACCCCCAGAGCTTCATCGTGGCTGTCCCCAAGCCCCCTAAGACTGGTTGGGGCTGTCCCCAAACCCTTCCAGGACAGTCGTGACTGCCCCCAAGCCCCCTAAATGTGATCATGGCCATCCCCAAACCCACAGAGCTTGATCATGCCTGTCCTCAAACTCCACCAGCCTGACCATAGGTGTCCCCAAACCTTCCCAGCCTGACCATGGCCATCTCCAAGCCCCACCAGCCACCCCAAACACCTCCAGTGGTCCCCAGCCCACATCAGGCCAACCATGGCTGTCCCTAGGTCCCACCAATGGTCCCCAAATCCCTCCAGCCCAACCGTGGCTGTCCCCAAGCCCCACCAGCAGTCCCCAAGCCCCTCCAGTGCAACCATGGCTGTCCCCAAGCACAACCGTTGCCATCCCCAAACTCCTCCAGCCCAACCATGGCCATCCATCCCCAAGCCCAACCATGGCCATCTCCAAGCTCCACCAGCAGTCCCCAAGCTCCTCCAGCCCAACCTTGGTTGTCCCCAAGCCCAACCATGGCCATCCCCAAGCCCCACCACATGTCCCCAAACCCCTCCAGCCCAAACGTGGCTGTCCCCAAGCTCCTCCGGCCCAACCATGGCTGTCCCCAAGCCCCACCAGCAGTCCCCAAGCTCCTCCAGCCCAACCTTGGCTGTCCCCAAGCCCAACCCTTGCCGTCCCCAAACTCCTCCAGCCCAACCATGGCCAACCCCAAGCCCAACTGGCCAAAAGCCCGGTGCCACCAGCAGGCTTCACCAGCCCCCCAACTGCCACCGTCCCCCCATCCATGGCTGGGATGGACCTCCCTATCCCAGCAAGGCCACCAACACCATGATGTGTCACCTAGGGCCACCAGCGACCGTACCGGACGGTGTGCGCCCGTGCGGCAGAGGACTCCACCGTTCTACGGCTGCCGGTTGAAGCCTTCTCAGCCGTCTTCGAGAAGTACCCCGAGAGTTTGGTGCGGGTGGTACAGGTGAGTCCGGACCGGGGGGGACCACGGTGGGGGTGGTGGTGTCCCTTGGGGTGGCAGGGGACCGTTGATGGCTTCTCATCCCCCTTTAGATCATCATGGTGCGTCTACAGCGCGTCACCTTCTTGGCTTTGCACAACTACCTTGGGTTGACGAACGAGCTCTTCAGCCACGTGAGTTCACGGCAAAAATGGGGGTCAGGCCCCACTGATGACCCCCCTCCAGCCCCACTGATGTCCCCCTTTTTGTAGGACATGCAACCGCTACGGCTCTTCCCCCAACCCGGCCACGCCGCCAGATCGGAA